AGAGAAAGTAGTTTTAACATACGCGACATAGAATAATTAGGCGAGGTTTGTCGATGTAAATTTTGCTAAATAACAGATGGCAAATAAGAGTAGCCTTATTACTTGGAAGAAAAAAAAACATGCAATAGTAAGAGTAAAAAATTATGTTGTATACTTAGCCATTTCAATAAAACAAAGTGGTCGATGAACATGTATGAAAATCGGTGCAAAACCAAATAAAATCGAAGGCAAGTTTGGATAGAAACAACAATAGTGAAATTGATAATAATATCATCTACACACACATAACTATACACAACAAACAAACCATAAAGATTTTGAGAGTGTTCCATCCTCATTCTCCTGTACGGTTTACGTCCCCATTTTCCGTACAGTTTATTATCCCTAGGAATTTCGTGTTGTCTTTGTATGTTTCCTAGATCTTCCAGGTCGTTTATTTTAATCGGCCTACCTTCTGGTGACGTCTTCACGTAAATTTTGCCATTTAGGATCGATATCCTATTTCAGATCTGATCCAAAAGTCAATACCAACAGCACGTGACTCCCGCACAGACTTATCGACAAACTGATTGACTGACTACTGGAATGAATAAATGTCTCTTCAGTGCCCTTTTGATTTGTCACAGAGGTATTTTTTTAAGTTCCCCAGACTGCAATGTCGCAACCAAGAATCACATATGATGGAGTTCCTTTTATTATCACTGAGAAGCGTGTGTATGATTGCCATCAGGGCACTAACAGGCATGCAGCTGAGAAGCAACGAAGGAAAAATGCTAAGGTGACAAACACATGGTGTTTTTTGCTGCGGTTCTAAGAATAACAGCAAATTATTGTTTTCACAGTTCTAACTTTTTGAGAGGTCATGTACACGTGGGAATAAGATGGCGGGATTTTACTGGGGCAAGTCCCTCTAGGCTGACATCGCTGCTGATATGCAAAAAGAATGAAATGGAGAGCATAGAAGATTTCTGCTTTCCAAAGAATAACAATGACCGTATTTTCTACTTCTGTTTCATAAACTATGATTGCATGGCAGAATTGCGTTCTCTAAAAAAAAGGTCAATATGTTCTTGAAAAAAGCGATTCCAAGGAGTGTTAGACTAATTTGGAGGGCAGTTGGTGATCATTTCCTTTAACATTTGATGTTTTCACATGTAACAGGATGATTAAACTGAAGATAGTCTCAAAAAGGAATGAACTCCACTGTAACAATTAGGTGACTAATTTGGAAACTTGAGCACTTGGTAAATAACCTTGGCTTGAGGTTCTGACGATTACAGTTTGCTGGAGTAATTGAAATGTCAGTCTCCACACAGGAACTTTCCACATGACCTGTTCAGTCATATGCAATGAGATAACTTTAGAAAAATTTAATTGTGTTGGTAGAACTATTGTAAGTACAGTACCACCTTGTGACAAAAATTAATGATTTCCTGTAAGCATTAAGGTTTGAGAGAGGTTATGGTGGTAATTGACCCTCTCTTTGCTAGGATGCATAGGGTGTAATGACTGTAATGTATATCTTTCAGCTTTAAAACTTTCAACTTTGTATAAATTGTAACTGTTTGCCATATGAACCCGACTTCCTTTGTCTGGAATTGTGTGATTATATAATTTCGCTGTGTAAGTTACCGCATTATAACATGTAATAGTGTTATTTAGATTGCATTAAATACTCTTTCTCAAGCTTTCATTAATGCATGGTATTTCTTATCAATGCTTATACCTAAACGAAACTTTGATATACGGAATTGGTTTCAAGATGCGGGAGTTTTAAAGGGCTAGAATCTGGAAAGGCAAGGATCCTCCTTTAGTTTGGACTGAAATCAATGGGGGTCCTCCTTTTTTAATTCATGTTTTTACTTTTGCGTGACTCCTCCCCTGTAATGTTTAGGGCACATAGATGAAGAGAAAATTGTTTGTATTTTAACGCATGAAAGTTATTAAGGCTCAATTTTCTAAACTGCAATTATAAGTCACGCTCAATAGAATATAATTGTTACTGATCCTGACATCATACACTTCATCTGAAGAAGAAAACATTCTCTATCTTCGAAAATTTGCTCAAAACATCCGGAACAACAACGAGGATCTCAGGCTGTTTAAAGATGCCACTGACTAACATGGGTGTTGATCGCCTTGCAAGTTGTGAGAGCATCATCCCCAGGTTTCAGACTTCGTCAATTGTTTCCCCCCTCCCCAACTTCCGGACTGGGCTGGGTTGTTCAAAGCTGGGTTAAGATAACCAAGGGTTAGTGTGAACTCTGATTTCAGATCTGAAAGCTTTAAAAGAAATTCAATATAATTCTTTTTGTTAAGAATTTGACGATTGTATGCTCGATATAGAATAGAGGAAATGATCCCAAAAAGGCTTTCGAACAAAGGAGTAAAGAAATCCAGATTAAAATTTAACCCTGTGTTAGCACTAATCCGCCTCCGAACAACTGGGCCCTGGTCTCTAAATTTCCTTGAGGAAACTCTTCTACAATCAGTGCTGAAGAGTTTTATTACAGTTTTTATTCAGTATAATGAAGGGCTGGAAAATAACCTAACTAGAGCTCCGCTTTTAGGCTTGGCTAAATCTATATTATATAGATAGATAGCAGTTTTCAAGAAGATTGTGGACTCCTCGACGTGTGCGTGACCAGCGGCGTTCATGACGAAAGGTAAACCTTAAAAGACTTTCAGCTGTTATTCACTTTTAAACCTAAAATATTTAGATTACAGTGCAAAGAAGTTTTTGTGTTCAATATTGTTGACTCACTGAGAAGTAGAGGCAAAGTGAGTGGATGAAATCATTGTCCTTGTTTGTTTGTTTTCTGCTTTGTCTTTTTCTTCATTTTTCGCCACTGTGACCCACATACTTCTCGTTATATTTGATTAAGAAAGACGTATTCAAAGATTTCTTTTTAACTTCATCCGTGTGTAACACCAAAAGCAGCATATCAGAATGAAAAAGAAGAGACTTCTTTGTTACGCGAAATGTAGTCGGAAGTCGGGAGATCTTTTTCTTAGCACTTTCTAGGCATCTTTAGTGTGTACCGTTTAGTTCAAGACACTATGGCAAAACAAAGGCTTCCCGCTTGATCGCCTGATGTAAAAGCGAACCAAAAGTGATTTAATTTTTGTTCTAGTCTTTGGTTGAGTTCTCCAGATTAAAAAATAACTTCATTTAGACGCTTTTAGAAAGGATAAATGGCGGAACGATTGATTCTCCAATAGATGCAAATACCCGATTTCTAGCTCACCTGCAATTTCTATCGTCTTCAAACTAAACTTTTGAAGTCAAATTTCAAGTCAAAACGCTTCAGTAACTGCTTAATTTACCGTCTTAGCAGATTACTCTAAAGACCGAGTTCTCCGTTCTTCCCTCCTCGTTCATCGTTTATCGTTTTAGTAACATCCCTCCAGAACATCACATTCTGTTCCATTGTTTAAGTTAGCATGCATGGTCATACCGATACTGATTTATAAATTACATGTCAAGCATACACATAGCATGTGCTACACTGTTAAGAATGAGAATTCAAGAATGATTTTTCATGATTTGAAAAAAGAAAAATCACCAGCACTCTTTGAGTTTAGTGAAGAGCATGTACGCGACCTCTCAATATCAATGAAATTAAGGGTTTGATCCTTTGAGCTTGGCGGGAGGTCCAATAATTCAGTGCGACATCGTTTAGTCGCATCGCTTTTTATGTTACGATTTTAGAACTAGCTGTCGTTTCAGCGAAGAATGTGGTGGAAGGAATAACCACTGTGTTTGACGAATGTATGGTGTTGATGACCAACAGACTCGGACCTCTGGTCAGAGAAAGCATCTCGCGGTGGAGGAAAATGAAAATTAAAGGAATATGTAGGAATATTGTATGTATAATGTCTACGTAAACTTTCTGCACACTTGACTACGTAACACAAGTGAAACAGAGTCATTTAATAAAAGGCACTGGTGTAGACTTTTTTGGGTTTGTAAAACTGATGATCAAAAACGAAATAATGAAATTCTCCTCAGAAATCGTTGTAGATAATCGGCCACAATTTTATGACGTTCTTTCTCGATAGAAAGCAGAATGAATTGTAAAGCGAAATCAGAGTAGACCTCAAATCAGTTTTGACTAAAAGGCCATTTGATAGTTTCTGTCTCTATGTAAAGCTGAATGCCAACCATTTGATAGCTGCAACGGTTACTAATTATTTTGTTAGTTGATTATGTCCTATCTCGAGAGAACCGCAATCTAAGTGACTCAAGACTATCAGCGTAAACCCCTATCGAAGTGCAAGAGAAGAGGATAGGGTTCTCGTTGTGATTGGATATTTTGAAAGAGAATATCAATTATTAACTGCTGAACACAGCTGTCAAGGTATGATTTAACCGACAGAAAGAACACTTATGATACTCCTACAAACCCAACTACCTTATCAAACAACGTGTAATATTCTTACCAAGGAGCGACTCCTCAAAAAAAAAACAACGTTAGGGACTATTTCCAAACAGACCCTAAACTCTCCTTCATTTGAATGTTAAGACTATTCCTCAGGTATCCTCTACTCCAGACTGAAAGAGCGTTATTTTAATATTAGGTACTGTTTCTAGTACAATTATTTATATCAGCTGAGGAAAGAAGGGTTTTGACCAAAAGGTAACCTAGTTTATAATTATGTAAGATTGATGGACTCTTAACCTCTACTGAGAGTGACCGGAGAACATGGTCTCTTGGATGGAAGTCTCCTGAAACACGTACAAGCGATTTTTTGCACTTCCGGAAGCTCTGTTACTTTGGTTTGGTTTTGTCCTTCCTTCAAAGGAGAGATCTACAGAGATGGGTCTAGATATATTAGATCAATGTCGTGGAGAGAAAAATGTGAACTCGTGTACAGCATCATCATGCAGACAGAGTCAACTCAGAACTTTTCAACACTTTTATTATATAAAAAACATTAAAGTTATTACATTAGCAACGTATCCAAGAAAAAAAGACTTCAACCCGTACCTACGACCAGTTTCGTTGAGTAATAGTATCTAGTACGCGAAAACTATCGGCCTATTAGGCCAAACAACAAACTTTCTTGCAGAAGTAATGTGCCAAGTATAATTTTGATTAGAATTCCGTATAAAAGCATTTCGAGTTGGTATCGCAAGTAAAGGCAGTCTTTGGGAAATCAATTTATGCGCACGATTAGCTTTCCTAAAAAAAAGCGGGTTTTGCGGCAAAAATTTTAAGCAATTTATTAAAATTGTACACAACTATGGCTTTCAGAGCGAGATCTCATCACCACCTCAGAATTGAGCCAGAAAATAAACTGAACTCAAACGCTTGTGTCGAGGCATATATGTAAATACTTAACATGTTAAAGAGAAAATGAGATTAAACTTTATCAGTAACCTTATAAAAGCGTTTCAGCGTTCAAGAATATGAAGTCAATTGAATTACAGTGTAACAGCCTAACTGGTAAACGCAACATGGCTATTTCTACCAAGTAAGCGTGTAAGGAAACGATGATTAATCCCTGAAACTTGTCAGGGCGAAGTGTTCAAACTGTCAGCCAGTCATACACTGTGGACGTGTATCTAACTACACCGTTCAATCCTCGACGTTTGCATACAATTGCTTGTCGTACATTTTCATGTCAATTAGCTTCTGCAGAGAAAAATAATATAATAATTAGCAACATTAAAAAAGTTTTAAGTGGTTATCCTCACAAGTGGCCAGGTTTTCACACCAAAACAAATTCAAGGAGGAAGTATTTTATGGCGTCGTCGTCTGCTACTCTTTGTGCGTCTCAATGCAGTTTTGCAATCATCCTATGATCTTTTAAATAACCATAAGGTGTTTATTGTCATTGAGACATTCAATTGTCATTGAGACGCTATTTAAGCTCAATGCTGTTACTTTTAACCCTAATTAGCTGAGCCTTAGCCAGTCGGTCTTACGTGAAAAAAAAAACTTTCATATTGATAAAAATTCTGACCTTGTGTAGGGTTTCCATGTCCTTAAGCTGATTTTTCAATTCAGTGAAAGTTGGTCTTGAGTCTGGGTCATTCTTCCAGCATTTCATCATGATCTGATACCTGGTATTATTCAAATAATCTGTTAAAGAATTAAAGAATGTTTCCTTGTACGACGAGGGAGAACAAGTAAATGAAGTAAACTTACAATTTTTCATCGACGTGTTGTGGTTTAGGCATCCTGTATCCATCCTGGAGTAAGTTTGCAATTTTTCCTCCATCCATTCGTGGGTAAGGTGAACCGCCTGGAAGAACCACAAGACCATCGAAATATAAATGTGACAAAAAAACGACCTTCAATGAAACATCACCTTTGTCACTAGATGTAGTTTGAAGCTCATTACGTTTGTCTGACTGAACACGATACATTGTTTAATTAAACATGGTATAAAGCAAAAAACATCTACAGAGCCTCATAAAATTCCATTCGATGTTACCTATGGTGAAAATCTCGTATAATAGAACTCCATAACTCCATCTGCAGAAAGACAAATCAAACAAATATAAATTAAGTGACTATAGACATAAACAGTATATACGACGAATAAAATATATGTATTCTTTGACAAAGCATAGAATTCAAGTCCTAATTAAAATTGATACAATTTTTGATAAACTGCTACGGGTAATAATCAGGTATACTTACACGTCACTTTTGGTAGTATATTTACCATACAATAAGGCCTCATAAGCTGTCCACTTCACGGGAAGACGGCCCTAAAGATTTTAAATATCACTTTGTGAAACAGCTCGAGAATTATAGTGAGTGAGTAGTCAGAAATAGTGATATTTAAAATTGTACTCGTATACGCATGGCTGATAGTTTCATTAGGGTCCCAAGGAATTCATGATCGAAATCAGGAATATATCAGCTCAACCACAACAATGATGTCAAAGATCACTAAACTGAACGAAATGTGATACCGCCCTCATCTCCCCTTTTTCTTGATTACCTTTGTCTTTCGTTCATAAATATTTTCCTGCTGCACATCTCTGGCCATTCCGAAGTCTGTCACTTTACACATTTCCTTTTGTCCAACCAACACATTACGGGCCGCAAGGTCTCGGTGAATGATCTAAGAAAGAATTGATGTAACAGCAAAAATTAGTGATTGTAGATGAAAAAGAACTGAAATGAAATGGTTCAGAGGAAAATAGAAATATCTACAACATAATATGGTGTGCGTATTTCTTTTTCTTCCAGATGGCAGAAAGTTAAAACTACTACAATAACTGCTCCATATTCCAAAGAGAAGCAAACTACTTTTTTTTTTTTTTGCACGTAGTCATTTCAAAGAACGCTTACCTTAACATTTTAATCGAAATAGGATTCTGTAATGAAGCAGTTTAGCAACCAAAGACGATTTTTTTAAGTTGAAGTTTTAATTCCTTTTCTTCCTTGTCAATAAAATGGATATTTGTTGTACACTCAGTTTAAGCTGAATATCTTAAAAGATCCTATTCCTTCACGTCTCTGCCTTTGCTCACACGAGAAAAACCCAGATATTTTATTTCGATGGGGTACACTTGCAATGATGCACAAATATCGCCATTCTCGCATTGAAATAAAACTTATATGATGACGTCAAAATCGGGAGGGTTCCTGGCCCTAAAGAAATAGCCTCGACAAGACGGTAAGAATACGTCTGCATCTCCCAGGCGTGATCTTGTGAAGACATAATATTCCATGCCAGAGCTTAACATGACGATAGACCTTACGAGAAGGTTTTAGAATTGTTTGTCTCACGTGTTTTTAACTAACTTACAGATTTTGCGGACAAGTAACTCATTCCATCAGCAATTTGCCAAGCAAACTTCATCAGCTGCTGTGACGTCAGATTTGTTTGTGGTTTGATATCCGGGTCTTTGTAGTAAGTGTCTTTTAATCCACGGCTCTTTCTCAGGTAACCCAGAAGATCCCCAAAAGGCACATATTCAATCAAAACCAACAGCTGTTCTGAAGAAATTAAATAATTTAATTGATATGTTACTTTCTTTTAAAAAAAAGCAGTAATTGAAATAGATGAATGGCCCAGTCATAGTGAACACTTTTGAAGAAATCGCATGAAAACAAGAAAAAAACTATGCGACGGTCTCATAAGAAAGTACAGACCAATTATTCCCTTACAAAAAAGCGTTTCTGCTTCTATAACAGAATGATCTGCTCAGTGGCAAATATTCGGTCTTAGTATATCAGTAAATCCAGGAACGTCTGTGTTGGCTAAAATAAGATAAAATTACCTTATGCGATGGTTGTTTGTTTTGCTCAATTACGAAGCGGTCACCCTTCCACTGAGGCAAATTATCAATGACGAGAAAGCGTTACAGAGTAAATCATAAGAAAAATGTGTACAGCAAAATTAGACCCGCATAACCAAAGCATACCAGATTCAGTAACACATCCCAGAAGTTTAATGACGTAAGGATGTGGTTTTAGCTGTTTCATTGTGTCAAGTTCTTTCATCAGATCTCTTTGTCCGATTCAGAAGCGTTTGCTGGAGCATTAAAAACAAGGAGTAAAATTTGGTTAACGGGAATAATATGCGAAATGTCGGAATAACAACATAACTTATGAAATGGCAAATAGCTAAATAATTACAGTAACCCGGTAACATTTCCTGAATGTCTGTAGGCCAAGACTCATTCAATTTACAGTACAAGAGCTCACTTTTAAGCATCTTAATAGCCACTGTGGTCGTTTCAGGACTCCCTCGAAGTCCTACTGCTGTTCCCTTGGCAACCTGACCAAAAGCACCTTTACCAATGATTTTTTCTATGGTCACGTTATGTCTAGGAACTTCCCAGCAGCGTGTTAATGGATGAAGAGGCACGTAATCAGCACCTGGAGGGGTACTTTGTGCTTTTCTATCATCTTTGTTGACTTCTATGAGATCCATGTATTCCGCATGAGGCTGGGTGAGTTTTCTTAAATCAGGTAGACTTGGTTCGATATCTTCTAATAATGTTTCATTCTATTAAACCAACACACTGTTAAGGTTATTAATCCCAGTAAAAGTACCTCATGGTTATAAAAATCAGTTCACCCATTTTTATCAGACAAATGTTTATATTCTTCCATGATAAGAGATTATAAATAGTTTATAATCTCTTGTCATTATTATTACTAACATTTTGTTCTCTGCTTTTGAAATTATCATGTCCAATAGAGTGATCGAGGCTCATAGCATATTCGTCGAAGCTACAAACTGCAACGTGAAGATTGTCGATTGGTAGTCCAATATTTTGACAAATAAACGCACGAAAAAACTCTTGCAGTACCAAGCTCCTAAACTCACGTTTAGAAAATAAGGCATCAAGAAAATACGACGCCCTAAATGCACGAAATCTATTATTTAGAAAGCAAATATCAACCGGGTGCAGACCAACTAGCGATCTGTGAAGTGAAACCAAGCGGTTGAACCAGGGACAATCGAAGGAAAATCCATGGAGTGGCTTGGTAAAGGACATGATCACAGGACAAAGACCTTATTGAGCCTAACTTCCTCTTTTATTTCATTGTATCTGCCACTGATGCAATATGCTTTTTTTTATGTAGAACTACAAATTTTTCCCTCTCATTTACTTACGTCGTAAACACGTCTCTCATCTTCATAAGTCCTACAATTGAGAAAGCATAGAAATAATTATAAAACGCTAAGAATTTCATCAGTTTTTATTGGAGTTTTGTGTTAAGATGAAACCATATCGGGCACATTACATCGACACAATCCAACTAGCAGAAAATTCTTACCTCTGTTTCCCTACAGTGCCTGAAAAAGAACAAAAGGAAAAAATACAAATGATGTAAACGTGAGTAAAAATTTGCTTTTGCGTGAAAAAGAATCTTGCAACCAAACATAGATTATGATTCTTTTACCTACCTTTCTTATGTAGCCAGATTATGTAAATAATTAGAAGCAGGACTGTGAAGGCAAGAACCCCAATTACGGCCAACAAGACGTTGTTGGATGGGCAGTTACATTCCTCAGGACCTAAAATGATTCATTTCGCAAAGCTTGATGAAATAACATTCAAACAACATTTACACTGATCCTGGTCGATACACTGCTCTCACTACATAGCATAGGTTCGTGACCGGAAAACGTTAACTCTAATTGGCTTGGTACGAAGGAAGAGTAAGGTGCTACTCTCTCTAAATAATTTTTAAGAGTAAGACTTTGTTTAATTAAATAAAACAACAACGAAAAAAACAAAAACTTGGAAGTGTATCAGTCACAGAATAAGTTGTTTAATTAAATAGATACGGAATACAATTATAAAAAGTCCATCTTCGGAAGAATACGTGTAAACATTGAACAATGTCTTTGTAAAATTTACCTTTTGCTGTGCTTTCCGAGCCATCTGTGGGTAATAAAACTTGTTTAATTGAGTCTGGATTGACTTTAAAACCTCTGAATTTGTCTTGCCTTGCAGCATCCGACAGGAAAATCAGAACATTGCTGACGACTACAGTTTGATTGAACCTCATCATAAAGTCAAGAACAACACTGCCACACCTAGATAAGGGGGGAGGGAGAGAGAGAGCAAAGAGTATCATCACACACGTTCGAACTTTGGTGATTTTTAAGTGTTAAAATATATTGAGATTTAACCAATGTATTAAACCAAGGTAAATAAAGACAATATCAAAGACAATATACTTCAAACATAAATTATCTTGTATTAAATAAGATTTGCTAGAGCAAAAAAAACACTTTTACAACTAAAATACAACACATTGAAATAAAGCTCCTTTCCCCTACTAGAAGGCAAATTTGAGTTTGCATTTGTTGTTTCAGCGTAGAACAACAAACTGTACCTTACCTGGTGTTCACAGTGTTTGCGGATGAGCAGCCAAACCTGAAGGCAATTTGACAGGCCTAAAAAGGACATATGAAGAAAAAACGTATATTCAAATGCTTGTCACATATTGAAGATCGTTCAGAATATCTTATTTTTTTAACAGAAATATTAAGATTTGATTCAAGAACAGATTGATTAAGATTCACTTTTCATGATAAATCTCATGGCAGTATTCCTTAAACTCCAGTATATGGATCAAGTAGATTATCTAACCATTTTTGGAAATTTAGCAGCAACTTCCGATCGTCTGCTACAGTTCTCCTGTATTGTCGCTGTCAGGTAAACTTCTGTGCTTACTGTTTGAACTGGGAAAAACAAAATACGACTTAAAATGAACTTTTGTTTGTTTGTTTGCACAAGAATTATCATTTGAACTCATGTATAAAGCCTTTACTTAAAAAGAACACTGGCATAAAATGTACGAATGGGAGGCCAATTTGAGAGATATTGTTTTTCTTGTATTTTGTGTCACGATGGTGTCTTCAGAATCGTTCCCCTAGTCGTCTTCCTTTTCGCCGAAGTATAACTTTTTTAAATAACCGCAAATTATGAAATAGATGACATCGGTAGAGCCAGTCTTAACATTATACTGACCAAACAGTTGTCCGTTTTACGCAAAAATAATATACCAGTTTTTGGATCATTTTGAAGTTATTTAAATTTGTTAGAAGGACAGGTCTCATTGCGTGATTGTGCCGCTAATATGGACTCTATCTCTTTGTAATACATTTGCATGTCAAGGGTCGATTCCCTGTCACTATAAATAAGTCCCGTCTCGGAATGTAATTTCTGAATTCGATATTATTCACACAGCCATCGGCTGAGAGTGTAATTGCTGCCGTTCGTGAAGATCCTTAAGCAAGACTGCTGTTTCGATTCTTTCTGAATCTCTTTGGTTGCCTCCTAAGAACGAATTTGGTCGCGGAAGAATGACGAGAGCCCACAGGCCCTTCAACACTTTTTAACTTTCCTTTTTAACGAAGGAGCGGCAACAAACAGTGAATTCCCATTATATACATTTCTTGCTATTCTGTCTTCCATAAAAGATGTTCACTCGACTGCAACAGGATGCAAATGACTTAAGCCCCGTTCAAACGATCACGATCGTTGATGATGAACAACTGAACGATAGTTTCAACTTTCATTCACATCGCTGACTATCAAGTTTGTGTTCAAACGGTTCATGATAGTCGATGATAGTTGACAAAATACCACCCAATGAGATCGCGTAATTGTACACAAATATGGTGCACGCTGAGGTCAGCAATTTCAGTGACATTTGAAATTTTAGTCAAGAAGTTAATTACAAGTTAAAGATACTGAAGCCTACCAGGAAATGATGAGAATTAACTACGAGACATTCTGGGGAATTTCGACGGCTATTTTAGTCATTTTACCATTTGCCATCTCGGTTTGAGCCCGTTTTTGACAAAACTGCTGACCTAACCACTATCATTCACTATCTTCCTCTCGTTCAAACAGCAAAAACTATCATTAACTATCATGTCGAATTTGAACATGTCCAAACTACATGATATTTGATGAAATGCGATGATAGAGCATGATAGTTCGTGTTCAAACGCGCTTGATAGTTGAAACTATCGTCAACTATCCTGACCGTTTAAACGGGGCTTCAGTTTTTCTTTTGCGATCATGATGAAAGGCAATCAGAGTGCGCACAGGTTCAGGATAAATAACGTTTTCTTCTTCAGATGTCGTGTATGATGTAGGCGTCGGTTGAAATGATATTTCATTTAGCGTTATTGTGAACTTTGGTTTGGGAAAATAAGTAAGAGTTTTAAAGAAACGACCGTAAGCAACTTCCAGTTAAGAGATTACCGGTCGATTAATAGGGTATAAGTGAGAACAATGAGTCAGTGAAACAATACAGAAACGTACGGGCTTCTCTTATGTCTTCTCTTTATGTCGCCAAGTATGACTGTTTACTCCACAGTTTTCTCTATTGTGTCAAACTCCTCCGATAATTGTATTAAATTAAAAAGAATAGTCACTTCAACCTGTTATTTTCTCAATTCTTCTCTTTTGATTATTCGTGTTTCATGATTGTCCTCATTAAACCAAATTTCAATGATCATGGCAAGTCTGGCCGCTGAAATATGAAATTTGTCTTGTATCTGTTTCATGCGCTGCTAAAGTTTGATTTAAACGAAGACAAGCTAGAGCTAGAATATCTCATCTCAATCTTGATAACGACAAGAGACTTTAGACTCGACTTCAAAGATGTTTGTAGAAAACTAGAAAGGCTTCATGTTGGTTAGAGGGTGTGAAGCAACGCAAGGAAAGAATTTGCAACCCGTGTTTTGAGCGGGAAATCATACTGGTGAGGTTGTTGTTGAAAAGTGATTCTTGGTATTTTGCAATCTCTAATGAACTTGCAAAAGCAACGATACTCAGAGCTAAAGCTTTTCCAAACGGAAGAAATTACGACAGTTCAAGTTCATGGAGAAAGGATCTCGAGTGAAAATAGACTGGAAATAGAGAGAGAGAGAGCGACCTAAGAGAGAAAGAACTGAAAAGACGTGGAGCGAGTCGAGAAAAACGCAAAATGGGGTTTGATAGGGCGAAGAATAGGTAGAACACAGTGAGGGGAAGACGATAGAGAACAAGAAAAGGCTGAAGCAAAATGGCGAATATCTAGCGAAGACCAACGTGAGAAGGTTGAAAGAGCTCCAGAAAACAGACTAAACAGAGGTCAACAACAAAGAGAAAGCGAACTACGCTTGTAGCGAAAACGAAAGTCCCCGAAAACTAGGACCTAAGACCTAAGGAAATGAAGACCCCTTCATGACCTTGAGACAGGAAGTTTGTGTCACGCTCTGTAGCTTCACCGAAGAAAATCTCTGAAAAGATTGACAACCTCTCTGCGTGAGGCAGCGTGATCATACATTCTTAATTAAGCTAAAGCGAAATCGCCGACAACAGGCCACTTCCGAGTTCTTGCGGCTCAGTAATCTGGTGTCGAAATTACGGTGCGCAGAGGAAGCTAAGTGCGAAGTCGCTTTCATCGGTATGAAGAGTAAAGTGCAGTGGTGGTGAAAATGACAGAAGAGTTCTCGGAATTCAGTGTGGGAGTGTGAATTTTTTTTTTGCGGGAGAGAGGCACCAACTAACTGATGACGGCAAAGAAAAGAAAAAAGCGGTTAATTTAAATGTGAGAAGACAAAACGAAAGTGTTGCAGAATTCTCTTTCCAGATTCAGATCAGCATGTGTCAGTAAATCACTTAAAATATCTGTGTGTACCAGCCAATGACAGTTAACAGATATGCTATATATTTGCAGTTGGCATACAAATATCAACTGCGACGTAAGTAAAATTTTTCTCGTTGATTCAGGTTCTTGCAAGCGAAGAATTCACCCGTAAGAACCTCGATGTTGATGACACGGAGAGTGCTTGAAAACTAAGTAAAGAAAAGGATAAACCGTTGAAAGGGGAAAGTAAGATTCATTTGAACATACCTTCTTTTGCTTTGACTTGCTGGATATTTGCTTTCTCTTGTTTTAGGCTTTCACCAAGCTCATTAGTTGCAGTAATGGCAAACTGATACACCTTTCCTCTCTCCAACGTTATTTTCAATTCTCTCACAGAAACATCTCTGATTTTCTTTATTTCTGTCCACTGTCCAACTTTCCCATCAGTCACTACTCTTTGGTACACTGTATACATGGTAATAACTTTTCCATTACTTTCTGGCTCCTTCCACTTTAGGGTAATTGTATCTTCTGTTGTTTCATCTGGCAGTTCGTCTATTTCTACCACATCTGGGGCTCCTAGATTGATGTCAACAACACGAACAGCGTGAAATTTTCAATAATTATACAACTTCTTGTTACAAACCTGGTCACACCATTATCAATGATTAAATAATCTGTAAATTGGTCGAGGATTTTTTTTGGGATATTTTTGAAACGATAGTGTATGGCAAGCAAAATTAAGTTAAGTATTGAGATGAAGCGATAATGAGAAGCCTAAAATGATGGTCGGTTATTGCCTAAAACAAATACTGCATTTACAAGGTGAATTTGAACGATACACTGACTTCTACTGGTATTTAATTGCTATTTACACGAGATCAAATGAAAGACCGATGCATAGATGACGTCGCAATTCGCTATTCGTTTGTGTCACCTAATTACAGAAAGGCTCTCAGTTCGTGTACAACTATATTCTGCTTTTCAAAGTTTGACATCGCGCATGACTTAGTACAGGCACTTTGCAATGACACAGCGCAAAAATGAGTGCGCATGCTCCGCTTCTCGAGCCATTTGAGCGTCCAGACCTACGATTCTTCTTCTGCAAACATAAGCTGGCGCGGGTTCTTCCGCCGAGACAACAAACTTTTTTTCCAGGGGGGTTGCCAGTCGAGGCAATGACAAGAAGCGCTTAAGGGATAACAGGTGTGACGAACTTCATTGCCATGTTACGGCTGCTCAACTTCAGTTACTAAGTTCACACCTGTTCCCACAATACTTTTTTTGTTGAGTGAGATATGTGCCGAATGAGATTCGAAAGAAACTTTCTTGAAAACGGCAACCTTAACTGTTTTGGTTTGGGCTTATCCCTGCGAAATGAAAACAAGCTATTTCTCATCTTAAAGAAAATATATACGGAGGACTCTTCGAGGGCGTCCACACACTGTTTGACGAGATTTCCCCATAATATTTGCATGTTAAAAGCGATTTTCATGAAAGGCCCATTTCTTCCAACTTCAATTCTTTGGTCAAACGATGTGTGGAAATCGTCTCACGGCCTAAAGGGATAGTTGGTTATTGGGCGTTCTGAATATGGCCGGTAAGAGTTTAGGAAAAATGTATCCAACCTAAAGATCACTCTCTAGCGGCTGTTGTTGTTGGTTCACATAACAGATTTTGAGACCTGAACATTAGAAAATAAAAAAAAATTAGAAAAAAAAAAACGACAAGGCAAACAATACTTGATAAATCAGGTAGCATTTACGGAACGTAACCGCGTAGGTTGTCTATTGTTCTCACCTAGGTTCATTACTTTTATTATGCTTCTTCAAACGCACGTACCTCTAAAACAATTATCACAAAGGGAAAGGAAACTGGCCACTAAGGAGGGGACAAACGCTGAAAATCCAAAATCTTATAATGCGGCAAGCAGATAACATTGTTAAAACTTGGTTACTCACAACAAATCTAAGTTGGCGAAAAAATGACTGGTGGAAAGTGCTCAGTCACGATATCACTTTTGATTCCTCACCTTCAAACTTGGTCTTAATGTTCCATACAGTAGGATCTCCCTCGAATACAACATTTCTGGAAAACAGTTTCACTGTGTAGTTGGTATCTTTCTCCAAACCACGAAACGAATAACTTGTCGTCCCAGGATCGGTAATATTAACCTTTTTTATCTCAGTTTCATCCTTTTGTAAGATCATTTGGAATCCTGTAATCGGACTTCCTCCATCATCAGCTGGTGCAGTCCATTGTATTATTATAGAAGTTGCTTGAATGACTGATTCTGATGAGTTGATGGATGCTTTCCCTGGTTTCTCTACATAGTGTCATAAGAAGAGATTATTTTGAGTTTTGTCACAACACTAAGGATGAATGCAAGTCCACTTCTTCTCACAGTTTGTTATTCAACTTTCATACAATCTTCGAATTTCGATTTTCTGATTAGATGATTTGTACCACGTGATACTGGGTTGTGACGAAACAACCTCCTTGACATCGTTATCGTGGTATAATAGCCGTGGTGTAAATTCAACACACCATTGTCATTGCACCATGGCTTAGTTTACCTTGTAGATAGTGGTTTCAAAGCAGTGTTCCTTTGTGCAGTGTATTCAATTTGAATAATAAAAATGTTAACGTACTCATGGCTGGTGATTTATCATTATTTACCTGTACTCGTTCACAAACAATGAACTCGGAGTATTCAAAACCGCACGAGGCTTTGAAATTTCTCGTTCATTGTCAGTGAACTCGTGCAGGTAAATCCCCATAGTTCACTCGCTGAGTGCGTTAACCTGTAATTAATGAATATAAATGTAGTATCTAAAGGACGTGTAAGCCTCTTCGGGTCAGTTTTTTTTTGCTTGCCATTTCCAAGCGGTCACTTTTCGCCCTACGGTTCCAGTGCAGTTTTTTTCCCAGCTCCTAACAAATGTAAGTGTTGCTTTAGTCCGTCTTTCCGTTGCGTTTCAGTTCACTTTGTAACGTTCTTTTCTTTGTTTGGATTTTAGTTTTAACCGCTTTGAACAACCGCAACTACAACAGCGTTTCTTAAATAAAACGCGTTAATACAATGCTGGAGTGTTTGGAGTGTTTAGTCTACTGTTGGAAGTTATATATGTGAAGGTCTAATGCTGCTTAAGAGGGAAAAAATGCGAATGGAACGCTCAGATAAGGCCGTAAGATGTATGTCGAAAACTAGGCGGACAAATTTTTAGTGAATGAAAGAATGACAAATCCCTTACTCGATGGTTTAACATAAGCTTTTATTTTTTCCACACGACTATGGGCCTTGCAAAATATCCGCACGTATTAAATGTTAAACTATCCAATGAGATGTACAAAGTGAATAAGTTACTCTGTCAAATACTTTGTAAGAAAATTTGGCTTTTACTTCTAATTCACCTGAAACAGTGATAATGAGCAATGGCAAAAGAAAATGCTGATCTCATATATAGTTTTCTTTTTAATGAAAATACACTGATCTCATTGACTTACTTATCTGACTTATCTTTATTAATTTCTCGTCAGATGGAATAAGTCCATTGGCAGCAATGCACTTGTAATGACCAAAATCTTGATCACCCCTGAGTGGCACTTGTACTTTGTTTTCTCTGGCTGTGACTCTGTTTATTTCACTTCCTTCAGGTTTGTACCAAGAGATTGTTGGTGTAGGAACACCATCAGAAAGACACTTCAAAGTCACTGTCTGGCCAATCCAAGACTTCTTAGATGACGTGGTGACATTTTGAATTGTGGGTGGGTCTAAGAATAAATGCCAAGGCAATAAGCAATGGAATAAATAATCAGCGATACTTCACATCAATCAGAACAGTTATGAGCTTTCTCATTCCAATGCTGTGTCATTTTACCAAATAAAGTAATGAAACCGGCAAAATATGCCACATTATTGTTTCTTTAGAGGGCACGGTAACGAATCTTGCAATCTGATTGGTTCTTTACCCGGTCAGTATTTTCCTATCTCTGCCCACGAGCCACGGTAACGCTTTCGTGAGTCGCCGAGTACATCCCAACTTTCGTTGTCATTTTTCATAAATATACCTCGTTTTCCAGCTGGGCAGTATTTTTAAGCAAACACGTCGGTCACTACCTCAAGCCGATAAATAACTTATGAATCCTCCCTTTTCTCTCTATCAAATCACTTTGGTTGACAGAAAAATATTGGTTTCAGAATTAATTTGTATAAACAATAGTGTCTACGTTGGTTGACGAGCGGCCTAAAAACCGTCTGCAATTAATTTTAATCGTTCACAAAAAGTACCCAGAAAGTTGAAACGTGAGGTATTTGGTTACAGTTAAACTGAACGATGGAACTTTCATTCATTTAATATCTGAATTTTCTCGAGCAATTTGTTCATAGTAAAAAAAAGCGAGCGAAGTTTTAATTTAAGTTCTACAACAAATATACGCTCCTGGTGAGTCTTTCCAATTCCGTTCAATTTGGACATTTGTACCTTAAATTGCACAACAGAAATTGAAGGAATTGAGAAAAGGCTGCATTAAATTCCCTTGTGTCTCGTTGGAGTGTGCCGTTCGAATTTAGTTTTTGTGAAGGAAAGATCAGAGTTAAACACGCCATTACAGCAAACAAACGAGCAAACTCTCACAACTTCAAAATAAAAAATTGAATTTACTCACAATTACTTTCCTCGCCATTTACTTAATGAACAGAGGTAAATCTTCGTATATGAATGAATGGTCGATGAGAGTAAATAATACTTTCCGTTAGATCATTAACTGATTTTTAAGAAAACATTGTCGTGACAGTCCTTGCCAAACTAGTTCTGTTGGTTTTCAAATGTTCCTACGATTCTTTTTTTCTTGCGCGCTCTCTAATTGACAGGTGTCATATTGTGACAGATACTTGTAAAAATAATGTTTCAAAGTTTGTTTGGAAGCCTTTTAAATCACCTTTATAGTTACGGAAATGAAAATGTTTCGCTGAGGCATCTCTCTTAAATTTGCATCACCTCTATTTTAACTACCATTTACTCACTCAAAAATTGTTCAGTTTATGGAAGATCTTGCCGTATTTACGGCCATAAGTCATTCGGGTTCTTTCGGAAAGAATTTCGTCAAGTTTAAAAACAATAAATATGTTATTTACCGGCTAAGGGTCGGTCCGTATGGTGAAAAACTGTGACCTCGGTCTTGAAAATGCTGCCCTCGGCCTACGGCCTCGGGCAGTATTTTCAAGACCTCGGTCACAGTTTTTTACCATACGGACCTCCCAGCCGGCAAATAACATATATGTATTACACTTTAAAACAAGCTAAAAATACGTAGTAAAATATTGGCCGCCCTGAACGATTCAAACTTTAATTTTTTTGTTTATTATTATTATTTTTTAATTTGACTGTTTAAGTAGCGAACTTTTAAGCAAGAAAGAACACCTTCTACGACCGATACGATACACAGATAAGGCCGTAGGATGTAATTCGCATACTAAAATTAAAACACTGATAACTGAAAATAATAGTGGAATAATAAATCCATTAATCGAGAGTTTAACATCTAATATGAGCGGAAATTTTGCTGATTGCTCATATTTTCTCTCGCCTCTTCAGGGCTCGGAAAAAAATTAATTCGCAACCAGAATAAGGTGTATTTATTTTTTTCTTAGAGGGCACGCCAACAAATCCCACAATCTGATGGTTTTCTTAGCGCGGTCCGTATTTTCCTATCTCTGCCTAAGGGCATAGCAACACTTATCGTGAGATGCAGAGTCATCCGTACCTTCGTTGCCATTCTTTTTAAAAAATTTCGTTTGGCTAGCTGGGCATTATTTTTAAGCAAAGACGTGGGTGACTACCTAAAGCCGATAAAGAACTTTTTAATCCTCTCTCTCTCTTTCTCTCTATAATCCCTTTAAATGCCAGCAAAATATTGGTTTAGAGATGAATTTTTGGTAGAAAAATTGCGTCTTTAAATGCGGTCTAAAAACCGTTTGTAATTAATTTTAATCCTTCACAAAAAGTTAAAACGTGAGGTATTTGTTTATTATTGAATTAATCAACGGGACTTGCACTGATTCAATAGCGGAGCGCGGAGAGCACGCAGCGTAGACCATACTTATTGAAAAAATAATAGTTGCAACAGTAACCCATCAAGTCGGAAAAATTTGATCGTACGACCAAAATGAGGGTTTTCCAATACACCCAAACCGCTACGATTCGTCAAAGGCAGTTTGCGAACCGTTTTACCGGAAGTCGATTCGCGGTTAATGCGTCCCGTTATACCGGAAATCTGATAAACCGTCTCTCATTAGATGGAAACGCATTCCGGAAGTCAATTTGCAAGACACTTAGAAAATATTTCGCAAGTAACTGTCAAGGATTGTTGAAAACGTTGTCGAATCAAATGACTCGTTTCAGTAAAAGTCGACCTGTCTTACCAGAAGTCGATTTGGAAGACACTTAAAAAATAATCCGCAAGTAACTGCCAAGGGTCGTTGAGACTGTTGTCGAATCAATTCGATTCGACTTGAATCGAACGACTCGTTTCAGTTGATGTCGACTCGTCACACCGGAAGTCGAATTGGAAGACAACTTAGAAAATATTCCGCGAGTAACTACGAAGGGGCACTAAAGATGATGTCGAATCGACTCGATTCGACTCGAATCGAACAACTCGTCACAGTTGATGTCGACCTGTCATACCGGAAGACGATTTGCAAGACACTTTTCCGCAAAGTGGCCGCGAAAGGGGGTTGCAGATTTTGTCCAATCGACTCGACTCGAACGACTCGTCAGAGTTGACTGGTAACTCACTCATTAATTATCTCACAGAGCGGGACGGCATAGTGCTTGCAGGTTACACAACCTTCCAAACCAAAGAACCATGGACATCAATTGCACGGGCGCAGCACTTGCCTTTCCTTTCACTGTCTTCAGATGAAAAAAAAGAGTGAAGGTTGTGATCACTCCATAGCACAGTCCGTCAATTTTGTGTTATTTGGCTTATTTAGTATAAGGTGACACGGCTTACGAGTAATTAAATTTAAAATAGATTCTCGTCCTCAAATAGTATATCTCTACGAGCGCCACATATGCAAATATGTGCGCAAACCTTGGGCATGTAGTTTTAATTTCAGCCCATTTTGACATCAACCACCTGATCTCAGCTATCAGTAAAAAAAGTGTAATTTCTCAGCTGACAGTGAGGATCTTGACCAGTCCTCGGATTTCCATGAAGCCCCAACCAGAGCCCTAACACAGAATCAGAATATATGCTAGACTTGTGCACTAGTCAAACGGAGTGAATTTTGGGTTTTCACAATGACTCACAAATGGCTGTAAGCCATTTTCTGAGTTAAACACAGTCCAACTGAAGCAATGACTTGGTGAGAAAATTGTCACGCCCTCCAAAGCAAAATAATGTGAAAAATTATTCCACCTATATTCAATTGTCTCAACCAATACTTGAGACTGATGCACACAAAGCTGAAAAGGATTTGAGGTGGAATTCTGTTTCCTTACACTTTTGTAGAGATTCATCAGTTTTGTGTAACTAACCCCAATACAGGATTCATACTGTAAATAAAGTAAATTCAGAAATAAAAATTAAGGTTAAAATATACTTACAGTGAACTACAATTGTTGTGTCAGTGGAAGTGACTTCCACTGAGTTATTGGCTTGACATGTATATTGTCCTGCATCTGTTCTGTTTATATTATCAAACTTTAAAAATGCAGCTTTCTTCCCTGAACTTTCCAGTTCTCCATTTCTAATCCATGCTACATCTGGCAGTGGTTTCCCAGAAGCTTTACAAGCCATGGTGACAGGGGATCCTTCAGTGTAATATTTCACTTCTGAAGAGAGGTTTATAAGTGGTGCCTCTGAAAGTTGAAAGAGATTATATCTCACCTCAGGACAAGTAAAATTTGCCATATGCCATATAAGGCTCATATGGTATATAGCAAATTTTACATGGATTGAGTTTTAAAATTTACCCAATTACAATAAAATACACAAAAGTATCCAGCCATTGGTCCCCCACAACCAACTAGTATAAAGAGGCTCAAACTTTATTCAGAACAATTAAGCTTCCTCACAAGCTAAATCGTAAAGCAGGGCCCCATTCCCTTTGACAAGTCCCTTTAAAAGACTTGAAAAGCAATGCCATTTTTTTCACACCAAATTAATTTCACATACTGCCTGTGACTGGTCATGCAATATTCTCCTTCCCTGATTTAGCAAAATCATAGAACCAGCCAGATTGTTTCTAGTTCTGACTAACCATTTTAAATTGACATCTTTGCCATGATAAAATCTCAGTATTCATATTAATAATAGTTCTCTATGCATAACAGAGCAACCCAGTAGTTGGTGCCAGAAGAATAAAGCAATTACTCTTTGAATTCTCACTGATGAGAAACAACATAGTACAGGTAGAATTTACTTTCTCCTTTTGTTTGTAGGAGTGTATCATTATTGTTCCCAAAAGTTGGGTTAGCTAGCCACTTTCAGCCCTGCATATAAAAGTTTTGCACAAATTTATGCTATTATTTACTTTCTCCAGATCTCAGAAATATGACAGACATGAATTAAATGCATTTGATTTTTGTTCGATTATTAATGGCTATGTCTGTAATACAAACCTGCCACAATAAGCTGAACTGTACTTGCAATGTTCCCTTCTTCCCGTATTGAACATTCAAATTCGGTATTGTCTCCAGGGTTGATGTTATTGATAACCAGTGTAGCTCTTCCTTCAATTTTAACTCTTCCTTTGTAAGATGGAGGAATGTTAGGATGTTCTTGGACACCACGACTGTCATTAACCATCATTCTGACAAATGTACCATCTACCAGAACACTATAGATAATGTACTGAATCTTATTTTGTGTATCAGTGTAGTCCCACACCAGGTTGGCATCACTGCCATTGTTGAAGTAGCTTGGATTAGAAGGTTCCTTGATGAAACGCACATCCACAGCCCCTAAAATAGACAACCATAAACATAATATTCTCAGCCCTTTAGTTACATGTGTAAGGATAATATTTAGGAAGAAGGGCTTAAATAGAGTCCACCACAGAGGCACTTTTAGTGTAAGCTGTAACCACAATAAGTGTAAATATGCACTACATTGGTATTTGCTGATATCAAACAGCTCGAAATATACTTTCATTTGCACGAAAATAAGATTCAACAACAGTAGTGTGCAACTGTTTGTGCCTTTTGACAATCATTTTTGACAGTTCCACTTTCTTTAATTTCCAAACTGTGTACAGTGGTGAATTTCCAAACTTTAAAAGTCAGTGATATGCTTGAAGAAATTTTTTGAAGAAGAACTTATCAAGGCGGAAAATGGAAAGTAGAAGTGTGTTCACACATATCATATGTATGTTAAACCATTGAATGAGGGATTTATTATTCCACTCATTTCATTTTCTAGTCTTTTGACTTCTATTTTTTGAAAAGTTGTATGGTCATATCTAAGCATCCTGCCTATCAAATATGATGTACATGAAAGAAGAAAACAACAGAAATTAAAGAAACCATTTAAGTGTTCTTGATGACCAGAACAAAATTATTATTGGCTTTAAAGTTCACTGCTGAAAAAATCATGCCTAAAAATTGAGAAAAAAATCAAAGATCACATGCATCACTTCTGTCCCTATTTCTGCCCTGTTCTACAGCGTATATAACAAGGTAAATTAACATATAATAATAAATATAAGAATCAAGAAATATTTGCTTAAGATGAAGTGAATATTATTTATTGATCTTTCCTTTACCTTCAACAAATAATTGTTTAAGTATACAGTAATTGCTCAGGTGCTTTCAAATTCTGTTATAAATTCTGTAAATAAAGAAAGCATTGTCCAGATTTTGTTACAATTGTGTTCATTACCTGTATCAAGATGAGCCAACAGTTTTAAGAGGCTTTTTGAATTCAATCAGCAAAAAACTTCATCCCTTTCTTTAATAAAGTGATCTGCTAATCATTTAATATCTTTTGTGCTTTTCACAGTTTAATTTTCTACTTTTGCTTTTATTACTTCCCAACAAACGTTTGACAAAATGCAAGGCAACCATTTTGAAATTTAGTGCTCTTGCTACAATCACCTGTACATAGTGATTATCACAAGATATGATGCAATCCTTGACAAATAAGAGCATGTGTGTGTCTTTAATCACCTGAGCAATTATATACTAATGGTATTTAATCATTGAAATCATCACATAACACAAGTTAAAACAACAACGACAGCAAAAACAACAATGCAATGATCAATCATGTCACTTGTGCATGATTATCTGGAAACTTCAGCACATAAAGCTGACATAAAAAAAATTCCAAAGGAATCAACCACAATTTTCTATTTTCTAGAACCTTGGCCATAGAAAGGATGTCAACAATGTTCAAAACTGTTTTGAAATCACACAGCTGCTCCTCCTACAGCTTTAAATATCTTTGACCTCATTTCTATGATCGATGAGGTTTTATATAATAAGCTGAATTCTACATGCATTTTGATTGGTTCTCTCATGTACTTATGATCTATTGGAGGACAAAGACATAGGCAATGTCACCATCAACAATTTTTGCTTCTTCGTTACATAAAACAAATACATTCCATGTTGCTGTATAGCTCTGTACAGTTATTAATCACAGAGGATGTCAGAACATGCTAAAAACATCAGTGACACACTCATCTGTGCCTAGCTTGTTTTAGGCTTTCAGTTAGTATAACATAACACAATAGTGAACATTGCTGTCATTTCCCTTGCTTTTTCACTCCTCTGCTACTCTTGCATCTAGTTTGCTCCATTTTTATAATTGAAGCCTGGAACAAGCTCAGCTGCATTTTATATGTGCCACTTTTTTTTACTTACCATATTTTGACATCACATGTGATCTATTACTGAACAGATTCAGAACAACATGGAATCTATTTTTTAAATAGACAATGGAAAATTATGGTGTATTTGTTTCAGTGCTTTTGTATAAATTGATTGCCAAGCTCACTGGTGGTTAACAAAATGACTTCCTGCTTTGCTGTGGTAAACTATGAGAAAAAAATTTCCATAAACAAAGCAGCTTTCACAAAAAATAAAAACCAGAGTTCCAAAAATGATTATAAATATGGTTGGGAAATGTAGGAAATATAGATGGTTCATATTTATGAGTGCATGTGATTTATATTCACAAGATGTGAAGATTAAAACAATGAGTGTGGAACAGGCAAGTTTTTGTCTATAAAAATCATACAAACTTTAAGTAATGTAAAGAATTGCGGGTAATGTGTGTTTTATATGCAGAAAATGGAGCAACATTCATGGTTACTGCTAGGAACAAAGTAAGGACAAAAATAAGGAATAAATGAAATAATAGAAAAGCATTTGTTAATACCATGGGAGTTAAAGTACCAATTTGAAACGTATCTTAAATTTGTATATTGTATAGTATTGTATTGTATAGCCATAACATATCTTAAATTTGAAATACAAAAACTGCTGAAAGCCACCTTGGAGTTCGGAAATCATTTTAAAAAACATTACGTTCAGAAATAAAAGGTCGGCGTCTTTGGTGTCTAAGCTTAAAATAGCACACGGTAAAAAACACAGTAAAATCCTTTGTGCGGAGAAAAAATTTCACAGTTACCTGATCCGTGAAACTTTACCAGCAGAAGAAAGAGTAAGTTCATTTCATAACCCCGGAAAGACACCATCTTATCAGACTTTCGCTGATGCTTCAATGAGGAAGGTTGTCCCTAAATCTTACAGAAATCCCTTTAAGGGATAGGAGAAAGGGCCCCTCTTCGTTTTGAGACTGGGACCGAGTGTCACGATCACCCTCGTGAACTTGTCGGCCGTAGTCGGCAAAATTGCTCAGACAACATGGTGGATGGTGCAATTTATGGAAGAAAACTCGATCTAACCTATACACTTGGGACATTTACATTTGCATGAATCGTAAAAACTTTCCTTGTGGAGAAACGTTCTTTTCAGAATAAACTATGCGTGAAACTTGCGAACGTGTCGAATGAGCGTGACTCGATGGCACCCATATCAATCACGCGCGCGTATAATAACTTGTAACAGACAGCTCCTCAACTCCTCTTTCCTGTTTATCAACAGTGGATTATTTTCCAAGGGCCACTACATATAATCAAGGTCGGGTTCCGCTGATCTATCTCTGTGGGGCCGTATTCCTGGGGCCGGAAACGGAAGTCAAGCGGATCACAAGCGAGATAATTACGCAATCCAGACGCGCAAACTGAGTCAGTACATAGCAAGAAGTGCGGGGAAAATCAAATCGAATCAATTTTTAGAGAGTAATTTTCCTCAAGATTACCTCTATCTTGGTATCAGCTTCGTGTATCTTCGAACCATGTCATCTCTAAGACTTTCAGTCTTGTGCCCGAAGTAAATCCGCCGAGAAGCTTTTGCACGAACACAAAATAGAAACGACAACCAGCTTTGTTGTGTATTACAGCTACGGTGTTGGTAAAGGTTAGTCTAAAGTCAGAGGGGCGCCTCATATGAACTCTGGTTACGAGAGGGAATGTTAAGTGGAGGGATGCAGGGTTGTAAGGGTTATGGAGAGACCAAGAGGGAGGGGGATCAAAGATTTTCTACTAAAGGAATTTAAAAAAACTGCAAATAAAATCTACTCTTTATTTTGATTTTTAGAGACAGGTGTGTAATCCACTTACTTTCTTTTTGTTGTTGTTGTAGTTTTTTTTCGCAAAAATTGAAAAAAATGGAATAAAATAAAACATAAAAGCACTATTGAACTTTAATAGCTTCAATGTGGTGGTTAGCCCGAAATTGTATGTGGTTTTCGATATCCTATTTCAGATCTGATCCAAAATACGATACCTACAGCACATGCCTCCCGCACAAACTTATTGACTGGCTGACTACCGGACCAAATTAATAAATGAATGACTGAATGAATAAATGTCTCTTCAATGCCCTTTTGATTTGTCACAGAGGTATTTTTTTAAGATCCCCAGACTGCAATGTCCCAACCAAGGATCACATAAGATGGAGTTCCTTTTATTATCACTGAAAAGCGTGTGTATGATTGCCATCAGGGCACTGACTGGCATGCAGCTGATAAGCAACGAAGAAAAAATTGTAAGGTGACAAACACATAGTGTTTTTTGCTGCAGTTCTAAGAATAACAGTAAATTATAGTTTTCACGGTTCAAACTTTTTTATAGGTCATGTACATGTGGGAATAAGATGGCGGGCTTTTACTGGGCCAAATCCCTCTAAGCTGACATCGCTGCTGATCTGTTTGTATCCTACAATACATTTCTTTTAATTTACACCAATTTTCTTTGCATATATTTCAATGTGATTGTAGATGGTGCATAATTTTTCTGCAGTTTGTATTTATATACTTTAGTTCAACCTACCTCCCTGAAGGTTCATGGTCTGTGTCTGACTCTGCATTCAGGAAGGTTCAGGTTTCCTCGTCAGATAAAAAGAGGGTTTTTCCTGACTGGTAGCAGGCACACATTTGTAACTTACGCCAGTGATTGTAGAACTGTAATTCAGAGTTTATTATCAACATTGTAATTTTTTCTTGTTGCTGCCTTTGCAGTATTTATGTGATTGTATTAAAAAAAACGGGAACTGATGCTTGCTTTACGCTGGGCCTCTATCCAGTACAGCAGTCAGTTTTCCTATTTTACAATGAGAGATTTACTCTCCCTATTATCTACCATTTCACCTTTCTGCTTTCCAAGGAGTAATAATGACCGCGTTTTCTACTTCTGTTTCATAAACGATGATTGTATGGCAGAATTGCTTTCTTTAACTGATTTGAAAATTCCTAGCAGTTAGAGGTGCAAGACTAAATAAAAAAAGGTCAATATGTTCTTGAAAAAAAATGATTCAAAGAAGTGTTAGACTAATTTGGAGTGCAGAAAAGTAAAATTTGGAGCAAACCACAGTAAATATTGTGCAAAGTCGACTAAA